ACTACTCATATTTATGATCTTTGACATAAACTTGTGGTCATTTTGATTTAATGTTGAAGTTGGGAAGTTGTGGGTGTTAGGGTTTCAAAATGTATAAAGAAGGGTTTTGTTCATTTGATCAATACACATGTATTTGAGTCTTAAAATGAGATTATTGATGTTTATTGATGATATTTGGACCTTTGGGTCAATGTTGAGAAAAGGGGAAGAAAAGTCCTAATTTATTGTGATTAATTAATTTGTATAATTAATTTGGAAAAGTTATGAAAATATGAAATTGAGTTGGAAATAATGAAATTGGGTAATTGTGATATTTAATGGTGGAGTTGGATTGATTAATCACTCACCTTTGAAATTATAGATAATTTATCTGTTTGATAATTTATTATCTGTTTAGAAATAATTGTTTTGGGCTATTGGTGGAGGATAGTCTTGATTGTTGTAGACACTGCATAATGATTAGGTGAATTAAAACTAATCAATTGAATATGTCATTGAATATGACAGATGGAATAACACATTGAATATGTGCTTGGCTTGATCATTGTATATGATAAGTGTTTAAATAAATTGTATATATATATATTGTTTGGGAGGAGATAGGGGATGTACTCCACGGTTTGGGAGAAGATAGGGGATGTACTCCACAGTTTGGGAGGAGATAGGGGATGGACTCCTAAACCGGATTTGGGAGGAGAGAGGGGATGGACTCCAGTGATAACTAAGTTGGCTGGGGCGTCCAGGGTGAAAGTCCCGAAATCCTCATTGCGTTTGTATAACGTAGATAAATTGAAGTATTGAAATGATAATAATATGAGTTATAGTCTCATTTGAACTTGAAGTGTTGAAGTGTTAATTATGTGAGTTGTAGTCTCATGTTAATTGATCAAAACCGAAGTATTGTTGATATGAGTTGTAGTCTTATTTGAACTATCTGGATGAATAGGGAACCATATCTATGAATTGGTTTGGCTAATGAAATGGAAAGAGATGTATGTTTGTTTACATGAGTTGAACATTTATCATATGCCAATGTTTTAGTTATTGCTCATGTTATGTTTAGCATATCTCTACTGGGCGTTGGCTCACCCTATATGGGACATCATTTTCAGGTTCAGGTGCTATGCCACCTCCAAGGACGTAGCTTAGGAGGTCTTGGGAGTTGAAGACTCTTTTGATTATTCTTGTTGTCTTTTTGATATTACATGTAAATTCAAGCCAAGGGCTTAATGTGTATTTGAGTTAGTACTCACTTTTTGGCAACCAAGTGTCGGCTTGGAAAGTTGTAAGCCCGTAGGGTATTTACTTTTGTTGTCAACATGTAATATTTTTGTAAAGAATACTCTGATGAATGGAAATATGCTTTATTCTCTGTCTATGAATATAATGAATGTTGGGTTTATATATATTATTTTGAGAGTGTTACACAAACCATCACAACACCAACTAACTCGCGCACAAACATGCCATTTCAAACCCCTACTCCCAGAACACACACACATTATTCTGTCACGATATTCCTCCATATATGTGACACAAACAAACTTACACCAAAACGCACCCACCTCAAAAAACACCCCCCACACTCAACATTATCATTGTCCAAACACACACCAACCCCCCAAACAAAAACCCATTTCCTCTCACCCTTACCCACAACACCCACACACCTACACTACACACACCAATCCATAACACCCAAACCCAAAACAATAGAAACACACACAAAATTCTCTTCATGTTAAACAAAAGGACACCGTCATTTTCAAAACCCCATTACGACCAACACTTACACACCATACACTAAACATGTAAAAAACTGCATCACAACACATTCACAACCAACACTATTCACATAATCAGAAATGGGAGATGTGGACACTTACTGCAGCACGGCGTCGTCATCGAATTTGGATTGGTAAATCTTCAATGTACTGCCAAGAACACGTATCAAACTTGCCAAGCACACCAACCCTCGCCAATAAACTATGATGTTACGGTCGCCACTTTAGATTCAATTAGAATTAGGGGGTATTGAGTTGTTGTGCATATTCCACGCTTTGGCATTTTCATTCCACGCTTTGGCATTTTCATTCCATATCTACATTGCCAAATCTGGAATCCAATCACGGTAATCGCGCGATTTACAACAAACCCAAACCCCCTCCCCACACTTCCGTCGCAGATCACATGCTACAGTTCACACACCCCTGCCGCTAGTAACAACCCCGACACCCTAACGTTCGCACCCTATCAACTTTTCAGTCGCCTCCACACCTTGCACTACGTGTAATTGATGATTTTTCCCAAAACGTGGATTACTAGAATGTGGAAGAAGGCACTCAGAAATGACATTGGAAAACCCTAAATACCAAAACCACACGCAATACTTTAGTTCGCCGAATTCCAACACAGGCACCTGAGGAGTTAATCACAATAACAAAAATGTGGAAATAAGAAACTAAACCAATTTGTGTGTAATATCTAAATGTGGGCCACATTTCAAAAGTGGGTCAGCCTAAATCGTTACCAATCCAAAAAACCCTATAGTGCATTTTTCCAAAAGGTTCTATCTACGCCAATAAAGGAACCATTATTTCTCAAAGCTAATAACCATTTCAGGAGGACAAAAACGCAAACCAGCACATAGTGGGACCTCTGTGTGTACAAAAAAAATATATATATATATATATATGGGACTGATCAGTTTCTAATTTCACATTATGGGATTTATGGGTCAGTTATATGGGACTGATCAGTTTCTAATTCCACATTATGGGATTTATGGGTCAGCTACCCTAAAAAAAAAATTTAAAAAATAAAACTTGAATTTAATGAAAAATACTTATAGTGGCAAACTCATTTTCTCATTTATAAACACAAATTAATGGGATTGAGATTAGTAAATGCTCATAGACTCCACTTGTGAGAGAAGATGGAAGAAGAAGAAAAAAAAAATTCCAATGATCTCATAATACAAAACATATTCATACTGCTCTGAAATCGTAACTCACAATAAGTGAGTCATCCATTTTTTCCTTATTACCTAATAAAAATGAATTGTCATGTCTCACCATAAGATTTTTTGTTACGTCATTAGTTTGAATTACCATATAAATGGAATTGATTTTGCTGCTGTTGACCTAGCCTAACATCACTTGTGGGTTCCATCTTGAGCCCCACGATAATGATCTGAGTCATTAGGTATGGGAGGTTCATCGTGTAGTTCATTTTCCTCAAGATAGGCGTAATTTAAATTGACAACTATCAATGTCCGACCAAGTTAATTCTTTATAAAAAAGTTATATTCAACGTATCAAATCATTGACGTGGCAATTGGGGTGGGATCCATAAAACGCATTCAATTTATAGCTAATGTAGTACTTTTTTAACCCTATTCAATGGCTACAATCGTTACGTAATACTATACATTTTACAAAAATGTAACTATTTTCAACCGTAATGGACACTTTTAATAGGACCTATAAAAAAAAATAAGCTGCTCCATAAATAATTCACGTGACACTTAGGATGGGGTCAACCAAAAAAAATCAAGTGATGCTTTTTATGAATTTTATATTGTAACTTTTTAATCTGAAATTTGTTTTCTCAAGTTTGCTAGGTATTGGTAATGAATTTATTTTTCTTTTTTTAACCATAGAGAGAGGGATATAATGATAAGGCCCATATTGTTTATGTATATATAGTGACACAGATTTTCCTTCTGCTTCTATTGTTTTTTTTTTTGTTTTGTTTTCAGAGTTTAATTGTTTTTATGAAAGATGTTACTTTTGTCCGTCTCTTTTTGTTTTGAATGAGAGAGAGAGAGAGAGAGAGAGAGAGATAATGATGATGGATAAGAGAAGTTTTGTTTTCACTTGTATGAAATACAATTTTATGAAAGGTCATTTTACCTATTTTGTTTGTTCTCAATTTTATTTTGAGAGCTGTTCTTATTTTCATATTAAAAAGTGAGTCCTTGTGGTGGTGTCATAGGTGAGCAATTAAATTGAGCCACGCTCTTCATGTTTTTCAATGGAGAGAGAGAGAGAGAGAGAACTTCATTCCACCTACTTCTTCTGTGTAATTTGAGACAGCACAAATTGCAGAGACAAAGATAGAAAATTGTCTTTGCTTCCAAGATATAGTCATGATCCCCTCACTAACACTTCTCTTGTGGATCACAACATAGCTGGAAAGAAACTTAGATCTCCATATATTTATGTTCTGTTTAAGAAAAAAAAAAGGGAAAAAAGAAAATTTGAATTGTGGCTGTTGATTATCACTCAAAAACTATGGACAGCCATGACCAAAACTTCGGACTTAAAAATGCTTTTTTGGTTGCAGTTGTGGTTTTCACCCAGAATTTGAGCTACTCTGTTTCCGGGGTCAATGGAGACCAAAATCTGGAATTAATGGTGGAGACTCTAGACCATGGGTTACTCTTGAGAAAGTTCATTTCCATTAGAATTGTAATACCTTCTTGATATTCATATATGTAAATATTCTGATTGGTGTAGCTTACGGAGCAGCTTATATATGTAAATATTATTTTGTTTCCCTTTTGAAAATTTGTGTCAAAATACTTTGTCCAATTTTTGCTTACGACATATGAGTCAAAAATGTAAAATCAGCTGAAAAAAGCTAATTATTGAGAAGTTGAAGGAGAGAGTCCTCTAGTGCATTGGTATAATGGAAAAAATAGCTAACCCCAACAAATGAAATGGCAACTAGCCAGTAAAAGCTAGACATTGAATTTTTTTTGGAAAGATTTAATCATTTTAGTTTGTGAAATTTGAATGATTGTATAGCATCTTTTGCGTAAATTGACTCGCCTACGGGAGGTTGGATAGGCACCAAAACCTTGAAACATAGCTTAAATTATCTTTCCAGGTTTCAGTATTAGCAATGCCGCCATCAATACCACTCCACACTCGCATAGGGCGGGAAAGGACATCATAACAAATTCAAGCTGACATACTTCCCACAAAAAAAAAAAATATCTTCAAAGCCTCTGCGATTGACACATTAGGAGCAACCAGCCATTAACAAAGTAATAAAAGCAGAATCAAACGGACCTGTTATTCACAAGGAGGCACGTAACATCCAAAGGATTTGACTGACAATCTCAAGAAGCTTCCATATTTAGTTATTTTGAGAGTGATAACACTAGTCCAAGAAGGAAAAAACTCACTTTTAAAAGAACCCTAATCCAAACACTTTGACAGCTACAGGATGGATTGTGATTAATGACTGAGAGAAACTCCCTCCCAGAATAGATTTTCCCTTTCACCACTAATCCTCCTCCTTAAGCAGGCACTAATATATGCTTCTCCTTAAGCATTGGCGCCTGTACAAGCTGCGATTGGGGTAGCATTGTGTTGCCGAGCAGAACTGTATTTCTTGGTGATGAATCTGAAAAACCCAAGATAATGAACACTGGCATCAGTGGTATCAAGCACAAAAAGATGATTCTAGAGGAGAAGACATCTCTCCCCATATCTTGCAGACTATTATGTTCGTAGTAAACTCGTGTACCATTGAGGGTGTAGAATTGTTTAGACATGCCCTCGTAATCTACCTGGTCTTTTTCTCTTGAAAGAACATTGGCCTGGGAAGTGCAATGATCCCATGTGCCAAGGAATTCAGTATGAATATATGTAATGTGAGTGTCAACATTGGGTGTTTCTCTACTCCGTGCACTTATCAAGACCTTGGATTTTTTTACTCACAAATTAGTAAATTACAAAATGTCAAAAAATGTCAAGCCAGAGTAGGCAAGGTTTATTAGGGATGCAAATTATGTGAAACCCTAATTACAGTGATACATGAGCTTAAGAATGTGTTGAGATACCTGAAGAAATCCCTCCATAACAACTCATACATCAACCAGTTTGTTCCAGTATCAGATGAACCACTACCACCACCTTTCCGGTTCGAGGCAGCAGAAATTGTCCTGTCAATCACATCAAATCATCACAACGCCAAAATGTTAGACAATCTCATTAAAGAGAGTTTTCTCGGCCAGTGGACTTGACCACAGTAAAGTAAACCCATACCTGGAAACAGATTTCTTCAGTTCATCAAACATTGATCGGGGAGAGAGGCATCCCATGGCAAGCCATGGCGAGATTTTGCAGGAAAAGTTTGCACCATATATGCTGTTGTCATTGCCATTCTTGGTTCCCTCATTTGGTTGTGCTTGGCAATCAGCAGCAAATTTTGTAAGCCTCTGAAGTGCTTCAGTTTCTCCTCCCACCATAGAAGCATTGGCTGACAGTTTTCCGTCCTACAAGAAGCAAACAACCACATTGTCATTGATAGCAGGAACAAAACAATCTGTTAGTTTTGCCAACTTTGTCCAATAAAATATTTAAATATTATCAACACTATATGTTAGAAAGCAAACTGTGCTACACTCTGCAGGCAGCATGAACCAAAATATACTTTAGGCAAAGTAATAAAGATTTGAATTAGGACATGACCACAAATCCTTGGCATAGTTCAAATCAAAGGATAAGAACGAAGGGAACGACATGAGAATGGAGCAGAAATTTAAAAAGCTTAGTCTTGCTTCTAATTACCCTCTTTGTAAGAAGTTTCACAACACCAGTAGAGAACCTTAATGGAGTTTCACACAAAGTAGATTCATTAATAACTATATCATCTCCTAATCAAACACACGTCAAACAATTCAACAGCAATATTGCAATGCTCAAAAGTATTGGTAAGATGAACAAAATTAGTGAAAAGACTTGAAAACTCTAAGCTAAACTCATTTGACATGTCAAAATTCAAATGCCAAACTTCAAAATTAGACACCCCCCCCCCCCCCCCCCCCCCCCCCCCCCCCCCCCCCCCCCCCCCCCCCCCCCCCCCCCCCCCCCCCCCCCCCTTCCCCCCCCCCCCCCCCATTCGTATTATCCTATTTCAGCTACACATATGTTAATTACTTGCTATCATTCCTTGCAATACCAACATCATAAATACACACACAAGAACTGTTCTCATATAGAATCAACAAGAACTAGATTCAAGAAAACAATAAGAACATCCATGACCAAAAGAAAAAGAAAAAAGAATTAAGTGACAGCATGAATCAAAACAATGAATGGCATTTGGAGAATTGAACCAAATAAAGGCCATACCTGACCCAATGTTGCATTTGGGTTGAGACCCAATTCAACCAAAGATGGAATCTCCCCCGCTTCCACGTCTCCCCCAGACGGTAACCCCTTCAATTGATCCAACGCTGCCATCGTCTTCCTAATTTCCAATCCCTGAACTTTCTCCCTAAACCCACCATAATTCGTCGGCATTTCGTCCAATTTAAATGGCAAATCATCAACATGAAACAAAGTACTTCCCCAGAAGTACTTCACTTCTACCCCTTCATCCCTCATTGCCGCCTCAATCTTCTCCTCCGCCTTAACCTCCTCATTCGAAACTTCTCTGTTTACATACACTGCCTCGGCCCCAATCGCCTTCGCCAATTCCACTAAAACCATCTCAGGCTTCCCAATTCTCACCACAAGATCAGACCCTCTTGCCTGAAGGTTCTTCCTAAGGTCTGAAACCGATTCAATCAAGAACGAGGCGCGGTAAGGCCCAGTTTTATCGAACCCAGATGATGATTTCCCATAATCTCTGGGGTCGAAGCAGTAAACGGGAAGGACAGACATGGACTCATTGTTGGCTGAATTGAGGCACTCATTGTCGTGAACTCGAAGATCGTTTCGGAACCAAACGACGGAGGCTCGGCGAATTCCGGCGGCGTTGGAAGGATCGGAAGGGCGGCGAGGGTTTAGAGAAAGAGGGTTTTGGAGAGGGTTTGAGGAGATGGTGGATTTGAAGAATGGTTTTGGAGGGGAGAGAGAAGAGGAGATAGAGAGGTGAGAGAGAGACGAGATTTGAGAGGGGATTTTAACCTTGTTGGGATGAGTGGCAAGAAAAGGAGAGATTTTGGGAGGAAGGAGGAAGTGGGTAGGGAGGATTGTAGAGAGAGAAACAGAGATTGAAGCAAAGGGTACAGTGGGAACAAGCTGGTTTTGGTCCTCTAATGGTGTTTGGGATTCTGGGTCTTCTAGGGTTTGGTTCTTGGAATCCATTTTCAGTAGTTTCTTGAGGAAGAAGATGATGGGTTTTGGGGATTGAAGCTCTTTCTTTCAATCTTCACTCTCTTCAATTTCTGGTTTTTGTGGGTTTGGTGAGAAATGAATGTGTAATAAGTTTGATGGCGGGGGTTCAACTTTCTTTCTCGTTCTTCCCACGACCGTACCTAATTTTTTTGGGACTAACCTTCAAACTCCATGGCTTTCACAGAGGGAGGTTATGGACATCATTTTCGGAATTTCAAGTTTTGGGGTAGGTAGGTAGGTAGGTAGGATATGATATGAGGCTGGTTCTACACATGAATTTGATAATCTGCAATGACACAATACTAATTAATTAGGTTATTTTCAGAACTCAAAATTTAATTTTTAATTTATTTTAAGTTATATTATTTTTCATATGTTTTATATATTTTTTTTAAAAAAATTAAAAAAATTAATTTTTAACCATCTTTTTTAAATAAGCCTTAGTACCTAAAAAATTAATTAGAAATTATTGAAATAATAAGAAATACATTTTTTTAAAAAAAACTTAAAATTTGAATGTATTAAAAAGACTAAAGACAGTAATGCAATAGACCTAAAGTTTTGGCTCAAGGCTTATCCATTAAAAAAAAAAAATTAGAAAAAAATTTTAAAAAAAATGTTGAACTTAGCCAGTGGGCGAACTTAAACACCATATTAACGGCCTAACCTGATGCCGACCTTTAACCAAAAGCACCAGGGATAAAGCATCAGGGATAGTCAACATAAAAACAGGTAACTAAGGCCTTGTTCGCTTCGTATCTCAAGATATAATTTTTGAAAAAAAATTTAAAATTTTGTTTAGTTCAAATTTTTTTAAAAAAAATTTCAAATTTACTCTCTCTCTTACACATCAATCAATAATTTTTTCTCTCTCCTTTATCCTTCGCAATAATTTTTTCTCTCACACACATCTACTTAACTATAATAAAATATCAAATTATTCCAAACTTAAAAACTCCAAAACTATTTTCAAAATGGAAATGGCTTCCCTCTAGTCCAATTACGGATTGGAGGGTACTGTTGGACTCGTGAGGACCCATCACGAGTCCCTGTTTCGATAATCCGAACCATTCAATATGTAAAACTCGTCGAATACTATACGATTATAAAAAATCTCATTGATTGAATATCGATAACTATGTGATCAAATCAATTTTATATATAAAAAAAATATATAAGGTGAAAAATAAACAGTTTACAAAAATTTGATTTGATCACAAGGCTATCGATATCCGATCTACGTAATTTTTTATAGATATATAGTACTCGACGAATTCTATATATATATTAAACGATTCGAATTATCAAAACAGGACCTGTAGTTGGCCCCAAGGGCCCAATAGTACCCCGCAGTCCTATCATGGACTGGAGAGAAGTTAATCCATTTCAAAATATACAATTAAACAAACAGACAAACAAAAAATTTGAACTCTCTTTCCAAAAAAAAAAAATTGAAAATTTATCTCCAAAAACCAAACCAAATACACCCGATGTGTTTTGTGCACTTATACAGATTTGGTAAGCAACACACAAATTCAAGCAACAAGTCGCACAAAAGCAAATTTCCTGTGCAAGTAGTGAAAATTCTTGACTTACCACAAAACTAAAATATAGCTAGTTTGTTTCTCCATCAGTCTGAACAAATTTTTTCTAAATTAACATTTTAGTAAATTTGCTACAGTACCTCAACAACTTTGTTGAGGCACTGTTCATTCGTTACATGATTTTTTATTATATTTTCTTGAGCAAAATTAGGCCAAAATCTTTAAACCGGTCATCCATCCGGATATCCTGTGAATGCCTGTAACAAAAGAAGAAGAAATGTCAAAAATTAGTCCTAACCGGTTGACCGGTTAGCGGCATTTTTTTTATTTTTTATTTTTTTTTGCATTTTTATATTTTTTGAGAATTATTTGGATAGCACCTCATCAATTTAATAAATAAAAAAAAATAAAAAATACAATAACAAAATAATATTTTAATAGAATTAAATTAGAATAAAAAGTCTGATGTAATGAATGACTAGTTAAACTAGTAAGATAAATTTTTTAACTTAAATTTAACTAAAAATTTAATGAGTTTGATGCGAATCCTCTTAGAGCGAGCTTGAGCATAATATCCACGGCCCAATCTGGCCCGGTACTGACTCTTAATCAAAAGCACCGCCTAACTGACAGGGATAGTCGACGAGAAACAGGGAAGGTACCCAAAAGCAAAGCCAGCTACCAAGAACACTACCAGACTTTCTTTCAATAGCAAATCACACAGGAAAGAGGTACAACAAACTAGTTGAGAAAACAAGTTTTAGAGCCACAACACAAACCTCTTTCAGAGGGAAACTAACCAAAGGCCAATTTCTCTGACTGGAGCGTTTTGAATATTTTAAGTCCCACTTTAAAGTGTGTTTTTAACTTTATTCTCATGTTAAGGTAAAACGGTTTTAGAAATACAGTTTTTTAAAAAACGGCTTTTGAAAAGTCGTGTTTTGAAATTAAAATAATAATAAAATTTGAACATAGAAAACGGTTTTAAAAAAGCCGGTTTTAATTAAGTTTTTAATTAATTCTAAATTAATTAAAAACGATTTTGGTAAAACCGTTTTTACATTAATTTTTTTTAATTTATATTTTCAACATAAATAATTTTTTATCAAAAATATTTTTAATAAAAAACTGTTTTAGAAAAGTCGTTTTTACATTAATTTTTTTTAATTTATATTTTCAACATAAATAATTTTTTATCAAAAATATTTTTAATAAAAAACTGTTTTAGAAAAGTCGTTTTTACATTAATTTTTTTTAATTTATATTTTCAACATAAATAATTTTTTATCAAAAATATTTTTAATAAAAAACTGTTTTAGAAAAGTCGTTTTTACATTAATTTTTTTTAATTTATATTTTCAACATAAATAATTTTTTATCAAAAATATTTTTAATAAAAAACTGTTTTAGAAAAGTCGTTTTTACATTAATTTTTTTTAATTTATATTTTCAACATAAATAATTTTTTATCAAAAATATTTTTAATAAAAAACTGTTTTAGAAAAGTCGTTTTTACATTAATTTTTTTTAATTTATATTTTCAACATAAATAATTTTTTATCAAAAATATTTTTAATAAAAAACTGTTTTAGAAAAGTCGTTTTTACATTAATTTTTTTTAATTTATATTTTCAACATAAATAATTTTTTATCAAAAATATTTTTAATAAAAAACTGTTTTAGAAAAGTCGTTTTTACATTAATTTTTTTTAATTTATATTTTCAACATAAATAATTTTTTATCAAAAATATTTTTAATAAAAAACTGTTTTAGAAAAGTCGTTTTTACATTAATTTTTTTTAATTTATATTTTCAACATAAATAATTTTTTATCAAAAATATTTTTAATAAAAAACTGTTTTAGAAAAGTCGTTTTTACATTAATTTTTTTTAATTTATATTTTCAACATAAATAATTTTTTATCAAAAATATTTTTAATAAAAAACTGTTTTAGAAAAGTCGTTTTTACATTAATTTTTTTTAATTTATATTTTCAACATAAATAATTTTTTATCAAAAATATTTTTAATAAAAAACTGTTTTAGAAAAGTCGTTTTTACATTAATTTTTTTTAATTTATATTTTCAACATAAATATTTTTTGACAAAAAATATTTTTAATAAAAAACGGTTTTAGAAAAATCGTTTTTACATTAATTTTTTTAATTTATATTTT